TTCAGACATGACCCTCACCATGACCCAGGCGACTATCACCTTTGCGCGGAACATCGGCAGACCGGTCACAGTGGACCTAACTGCCTGCAGTGACTTTCATGCGCTATTTCGTTCACAGCGTTTCCACGCCCGTCGACTCGGTCACCCGCGCCGGCATGTCAGCCACACTGCAACGCTCAGGTCGGTGTTCCATCGACGGCTGCGTCCTGGCCAGAACTTCCAGCCCACTGCTCCTTGTCAATAGCCATGTCGGTGCCATGTGTGCTGTTGGAGACGCCGCCCCATCCTTTATGTTTCAGTACTTGGTCATCCTGGTTCCGCTTCAATGCATAGCACCATCTCGCCGCCATCACCGGCACGCCCTTTCCAGCGCCCTCCCACAGCTCCACCTGTGGGTACCTTTGTCATACACGCATTCTCGAAGCACTGGGTGCGCTCTCCAGTGATTCCGCCAAGCCATCGTGGGACGCTCGTGTTTATGGCCACATCGACCCGGCGCTTCTATCTTTGCCCGCTGCGTTTCTCCCAGTGTCGCCCGCCAGAGACCCACTGGTTGCCGATTGTCCCTTCCCGTTGACGACCTTGACTGCTCACGGACCCCGTTTCGTTTGGCAAACCTAACTCGCTTGTATATACGCTCTCATTATTTTCATTCCGGCTTCATTTCTGCAAGGGGAGAGTAATCTGTAGCGTCATCATCATCGCCATTCATCATCATCGTCATTTTTCCTAGCGATCGCGCTGCGCCTCTCGTGCAGCTCATGCGACAGCTCGAGGCGCGAGCTGTGGAGAATGAGCTTCTGGCCTGGCGGTTTGGACATGGCAGTCGCCGCCGCTCCGCTTCAGCAAATCAACCTGGATAATAAAGTGGCGAGAGAACGACACGACCACGTTGGCCGCCGTCCCGTTTTCCTCTCTCGCTACAACGTCAAGCCAGCCTCTGCCTTTTTGGCCACGAAAATCACCAATGTCATGCCAGAGAATAATGGCAAGTTGCAGTGTAAACTTGCTTTCTATTTCATTTCAGCTAGGGTGCTAGCTTTAAGGGTGCCTCTAAGTAAGAAATGCATCCTATGAGAAGCACATTATTGATCAACCAACAATGCACAAAACAAATAAGCACATGAGAGTGCAAGTCCCCCCCCCCCCCCCCCAAAAAAAAAGTGTAAAAATGGCTCCTGGTAACAGCTTGTGGAATTCACACTGGGTAGCTATGAGGTGATCCGTGCTGTGCCATATAATGGGGAAAGGCAGTCATCGTTTTGGAACTCAGGGCAGCGGATGAGCAGCACAAGCCCCCTAATTTTGCCACCTAACTCTGCAGTAGCTAAAGACACAGCTGTAGACCGGATCTTTGGCCTCTTTCTTGTTGAAACGACAAAAACCTTAGAAGTTGACAAGATGAACCATGCTCATAGAAGTCGCTAATAGAAGTGCCTATAGAAGCTGCTTTTCAACACAAACATTTGAAGAACGTGGGGCCACTTGTGCAATTGGCCGCCTCTGCGGATATGCAGATGTCATCGTGTTTCAATTAGGAATTTCGCAAGAAGCACAAGAAATGCAGGGGGCACTAATGTGGTTGCTCATGGGTTTGAACATGCAGGTAAACTATGAAATTTCATGTCTCTAGTAGGGTTATGCTTCAGTTTTCATACAAAACATAGCAATGCCAGAGTGCTCTAAGACCACCGGATGGATGTGCCCTTACATAAAAAAAAATGAGAGAGAGGAGGTTTCACCGAAGTATTAATTTGATCTTGTGCCTGCACAAGTGCTGTTCAGCATTCTGGGGCTTAGAAACTGTTCCAGGGACAAGGCGGGGTGGTCGGCTACTGTACGAGGGCACCATGGAGGCAAAACTGGTGCGTGAAAGCATCGATCGCGTAACGCCAGACAACTAGCTCCAGGCATGTGCTCATGTGAAAAAAATCGAAGAGGACTTGTGGCAACGTGGCGGCCTCATCGACTCAAAGCTCGACCAGCTTATAATTCCACTCGGGTCAGAGTCCAGCACCGAGAGTGACGGTAGTGACAGTAATATGAGCGAACTGGAATACCTCACATGAATGCAACCACAGTCGTGAATGTAAACACAGTGAATGTAAACCATAATATTGTGTTCTGTACCTGTGCACATGTCGTTTTAAAGGTACCGACAACTGGCCAGAATATACCGAATACCAACCGAATACCTGCTTTTAACATCATAAAAAATTCTCATAAAAAATGTTCCACGGCGTTTTCCCCATTTCCATTGCATGATTGGGCACTGTCACAGATGTTTCCGTTGAAATAAAGAAAACGGGCACCTTAAAAATTGCTTCATCATCATCATCAGCCTGTTTAAGTCCACTGCAGGACGAAGGCCTCTCCCAACGATTTGCAATCCACCCTGTCCTGAGCTTATCGGTCCCTTTAATGTTTTTCCCACAATAAAAGTGCGCCGACATTCGTTACAAATAGAGTCTGTTCTCGTAGAGGGCTTTACGCTTTGCTATATTCTTTCGCAGTAAAAGATCGCATTACAAGTCGTCGCGCTGCGTTTAGACACAGCCTGTGTCTTTTGCGGACGAGATGAACATCAAATTGAGTACTTATTGCCGAATCCATAAATTTTTTTTCAAATACTGCTGCAAATAAAATAAATTTTATGAACAGTTATATCACTCTTGCAAATTAGATATACATGTGTATATGCCTTCCATAAACGCCATTCACGCGTGATTAAGCTCGATGGTGCTTGCACGCAGATCGTAATTCACCGCATTTTCACATGGCACCGTTGTGAGAATGCGCTGACGCGGACTGCGCTGGTGAAATCGAAACCGAAACACCCGTCGAAGCGGTCGGACTACTTGGCGCAGTAGCACATGTGCATAGGCTCCGCCCACGTAGCCTTGGCCGTGCTGCCACAGAAAGTTGTCGCCGGGTATAGGTCACTCAAGAAAGGTCGGCAAGACACGTGTTTCAGGCATCTGATTTAATCTACAACCAGTGCAGAGTGTTGTTCTCACGTGATAACAATCGGACAAAAAAATTTGAGGCAGATTTCCAATAGTGGTGCCAAGCCTCAAAGAAGTGATACTGAACAACCCTCTTGTTTTGTGTTATTAGTTTATTTCTTCCTCTTATTTTTTTATCTTTATTCCTGTCTTCTTCTTTACAATTTATCTTACTGTCTATTTATATTACATTCTATTTCCTTTTTTCACCTTTTTCCCTCACTTTTTTATTCTGTTTCTTCGTCATTCTTTCTATGCGACACCTTGCTCTCTCCTCACCTTTTTTCCCTGTTCCTCACTCTCTATTAACTTTCCAACCCCCTTGCACACAATACTGTAAAAAGCTATGCTACATTCTGCTACCTTGCCTGTATAGCCGAGTGGTTGTTTTTGGATTGTCAGTACATAAATTCGAATGTCATCTCGTTGAGATTTTTTTTCCCACATTTCCGGGTTTTTTTTTTACTCATTCTCTAGTCCATCAGTGTTAATGCATCCCATGCCGGACGTATCGGCACACGTGAACTGGGAGCGAAGCACAGCAGGACAAAGATTAACAAGAGGCCAAAGAGAGCATGTGCCCGTTCATGATGATAGTTATTTCTGTTCTTCCATCGCAAACCATCGGTCTGCTTAAACAGCTCTACTCTTAAAATATGAAAAAGGTGGTCCCATGCACAACTTTTACTATGTTCCAAGTGATCTTCCAATTAGGTCTTGATAAGTGTGTGTACCATCCAGAGTATGAAATCATTTTTCAGCGAAATAAAAGTATTTTGACTGTTTTTACCTATCCATCTAGCTAGCTGCCTACGTCTGGGTGCTCACCTGATAACCTCTTTTACTAGTACATACCACAACTGGCATATAAAAGTATGAGTGTATGACAAACATGACTGATGCATCAGGACTTGAGTGACATGAAATACCTGTCAGGTAAATCATGAAACCCTTTCCCATACACATCTGGTGCATACCCATAAAATGGGGCATGTCCCACAGGTTATGAGCCCACAGTAAGGTTTTGCCTTTTCAAGTATGGCTAAAACAGACATTGGAAATCTTACTATAATAACTTTAAAACTTGTGTCAAAAAAAACAAAAATCCACTGCCCGTTTCAGTGACAATGCTGGTGAGTAAAAATTTGTAGACCATAAAAATAAAAATCACAATTAAAGCCAAAAGTGAACCCAGGCATTCTGTGAAGCAGTCCATTTTTCTACCCCAGAGTTGTACGACTGCTTAAAGTTGCATTCACCACTAGATCAGGGGCTGAGATGCTCACCTCCCGGCCCGAAGTTCGGGAGTTTGATCCCAGCCACGACAGTCACTTCTTTACAACTTGTCATAATGCAACAAGCGAGTATGCCTACAAACAGTTATTATTGACGAAGCGTTAGCCACAACAAGCTGGTTCAGGCAGAAACCCAGCAAGCACGAGCCACACGAACGTCGTATTCTTTCGTACTGGCACATAGCTGACGCCGCTTTGGCCCGGTACATACTATTTGCTGATATATGAAATCAGTGCCTTACAACGTCTCGATTCTGAAAGTTTGATTACCACATGTATTGAACTTTAAAGGAAAGATGTGCCTTATTTTTATCATGCTTCACCTTGTTGCAGGGAGCAAGAGAAGATGCATTGTCATCTATACCATGGTGTACACTGTATTTTATCGCGAATATATTTGTCCTCTGTGGTCTTCAATGCACCCAAAAACACTCATACATTTAAAGCCTCCCATGTTGGGTTTCTTGTTTAGAACTGCATACTTGCTATGGCAAAGGGGCTAAGAAAGCATGTGTTCCTGGAAAACATCCATAAAGTGGCTTGTAACGAGCCTGTAATCAGTGTGCCTTATTTCATATGACTAATATGTTGCACAAATCACTGGCTTTTGCCTTCTTGCTGAACGAGTTTGTAACAACGAAGAATTTGTAATTTGTTCACAGTATGTATAAAAAAATTTAGTTCCCTCAAAATCTCTTACCTGTCAGCATCAAAGTAGAATGTGACATTCTTGTGTACCTTAAAATAAACAGATATTTATCACTCTGTTTCTTGTGTGGGTTTGTTGATGCCACACATGCAAGTGCAGTCCATGTACAGTTCTAGCCATGTTTTATACAATGCAGCAAATAAAAAGAAACTTTCTGCTGCATGGTAAATGTACGATGAAGCAAGCCCTGTGCGAATTACAACTCAAGTGACAAATTTCGAGCAGAGATTTTTCCATGTTATACAGAATTATGTGGTTGCATCAACAAAGAAACAGATAAAAACCGTTTCCAAGGTAACACACACCCCTGCTGAGTATAATTATTCTCTATTGGTATGACTAATTTCTCCAGTAATTTTTATTATGTGTCTAAGCTGAGCATCTTCTGATACACACAATGGGGCAAAAACATCCTGCATTTGCAGCTTCAATCAAGCTCTTTTTTTTTTCGCAGCCCTGCCTGCTCTACAAAAATTTTGTACAGTAGCCTGCTTAAAGATGGGGCTGTGCTGCATTCGCCAAGACTGAATTATGCCATGCAGTTTCTTTATGAGAAAGAAATCAAACAGCACCATAATTAAAAGATAAAGTGAAAATGGCAGACCCATGTATCTGTTGCCTTCTCTCTAATTTATCTACAGTGCTGCACGATTCTACCCTAAAATAGATGTATTCAGTAGAACACCTTCAGTGTGTGCTACTAAGCACCTAGTGAAAAAGTGCTCCTCACGATAAATGAGGGAGTTATTCATTTAAAAGTTCAGTATAGGAGCGGAACTTCACTTTGGTATGCATTGGTTCTATAACGAAAAAAAAATTGAAAACGAGTTTCCTCCACCACTCTTGAAGAAAGTTAAAAGCATGTCAGATTTGCTATGCTAGAATGGCAGTCCAGCGGACCAGCCCGCTATGCACGCAACATCTAGGCTGACATGCACAGGCTTCCCCGACGAGCACGGGTGCACCAGCCAAGTCTCCGGTAGAGCCCATGCCTTCCGGATCCCATGGCCAACCTACGGAGCCTTGGAAGGGCGACACCACAACGTAACAATCTACGTTGAATTCAGACATGACCCTCACCATGACCCAGGCGACTATCACCTTTGCGCGGAACATCGGCAGACCGGTCACATTGGACCTAACTGCCTGCAGTGACTTCCATGCGCTATTTCGTTCACAGCGTTTCCACGCCCGTCGACTCGGTCACCCGCGCCGGCATGTCAGCCACACTGCAACGCTCAGGTCGGTGTTCCATCGACGGCTGCGTCCTGGCCAGAACTTCCAGCCCACTGCTCCTTGTCAATAGCCATGTCGGTGCCATGTGTGCTGTTGGAGACGCCGCCCCATCTTTTATGTTTCAGTACTTGGTCATCCTGGTTCCGCTTCAATGCATAGCACCATCTCGCCGCCATCACCGGCTCGCCCTTTCCAGCGCCCTCCCACGGCTCCACCTGTGGGTACCTTTGTCATACACGCATTCTCGAAGCACTGGGTGCGCTCTCCAGTGATTCCGCCAAGCCATCGTGGGACGCTTGTGTTTATGGCCACATCGACCCGGCGCTTCTATCTTTGCCCGCTGCGTTTCTCCCAGTGTCGCCCGCCAGAGACCCACTGGTTGCCGATTGTCCCTTCCCGTTGACGACCTTGACTGCTCACGGACCCCGTTTCGTTTGGCAAACCTAACTCGCTTGTATATACGCTCTCATTATTTTCATTCCGGCTTCATTTCTGCAGGGGGGGAGTAATCTGTAGCGTCATCATCATCGCCATTCATCATCATCGTCATTTTTCCTAGCGATCGCGCTGCGCCTCTCGTGCAGCTCATGCGACAGCTCGAGGCGCGAGCTGTGGAGAATGAGCTTCTGGCCTGGCGGTTTGGACATGGCAGTCGCCGCCGCTCCGCTTCAGCAAATCAACCTGGATAATAAAGTGGCGAGAGAACGACACGACCACGTTGGCCGCCGTCCCGTTTTCCTCTCTCGCTACAACGCCAAGCCAGCCTCTGCCTTTTTGGCCACGAAAATCACCAATGTCATGCCAGAGAATAATGGCAAGTTGCAGTGTAAACTTGCTTTCTATTTCATTTCAGCTAGGGTGCTAGCTTTAAGGGTGCCTCTAAGAGATGCATCCTATGAGAAGCACATTATTGATCAACCAACAATGCACAAAACAAATAAGCACATGAGAGTGCAAGTCCCCCCCCCCCCCAAAAAAAAAAAAGTGTAAAAATGGCTCCTGGTAACAGCTTGTGGAATTCACACTGGGTAGCTATGAGGTGATCCGTGCTGGGCCATATAATGGGGAAAGGCAGTCATCGTTTTGGAACTCAGGGCAGCGGATGAGCAGCACAAGCCCCCTAATTTTGCCACCTAACTCTGCAGTAGATAAAGACACAGCTGTAGACCGGATCTTTGGCCTCTTTCTTGTTGAAACGACAAAAACCTTAGAAGTTGACAAGATGAACCATGCTCATAGAAGTCGCTAATAGAAGTGCCTATAGAAGCTGCTTTTCAACACAAACATTTGAAGAACGTGGGGCCACTTGTGCAATTGGCCGCCTCTGCGGATATGCAGATGTCATCGTGTTTCAATTAGGAATTTCGCAAGAAGCACAAGAAATGCAGGGGGCACTAATGTGGTTGCTCATGGGTTTGAACATGCAGGTAAACTATGAAATTTCATGTCTCTAGTAGGGTTATGCTTCAGTTTTCATACAAAACATAGCAATGCCAGAGTGCTCTAAGACCACCGGATGGATGTGCCCTTACATAAAAAAAAATGAGAGAGAGGAGGTTTCACCGAAGTATTAATTTGATCTTGTGCCTGCACAAGTGCTGTTCAGCATTCTGGGGCTTAGAAACTGTTCCAGGGACAAGGCGGGGTGGTCGGCTACTGTACGAGGGCACCATGGAGGCAAAACTGGTGCGTGAAAGCATCGATCGCGTAACGCCAGACAACTAGCTCCAGGCATGTGCTCATGTGAAAAAAATCGAAGAGGACTTGTGGCAACGTGGCGGCCTCATCGACTCAAAGCTCGACCAGCTTATAATTCCACTCGGGTCAGAGTCCAGCACCGAGAGTGACGGTAGTGACAGTAATATGAGCGAACTGGAATACCTCACATGAATGCAACCACAGTCGTGAATGTAAACACAGTGAATGTAAACCATAATATTGTGTTCTGTACCTGTGCACATGTCGTTTTAAAGGTACCGACAACTGGCCAGAATATACCGAATACCAACCGAATACCTGCTTTTAACATCATAAAAAATTCTCATAAAAAATGTTCCACGGCGTTTTCCCCATTTCCATTGCATGATTGGGCACTGTCACAGATGTTTCCGTTGAAATAAAGAAAACGGGCACCTTAAAAATTGCTTCATCATCATCATCAGCCTGTTTAAGTCCACTGCAGGACGAAGGCCTCTCCCAACGATTTGCAATCCACCCTGTCCTGAGCTTATCGGTCCCTTTAATGTTTTTCCCACAATAAAAGTGCGCCGACATTCGTTACAAATAGAGTCTGTTCTCGTAGAGGGCTTTACGCTTTGCTATATTCTTTCGCAGTAAAAGATCGCATTACAAGTCGTCGCGCTGCGTTTAGACACAGCCTGTGTCTTTTGCGGACGAGATGAACATCAAATTGAGTACTTATTGCCGAATCCATAAATTTTTTTTCAAATACTGCTGCAAATAAAATAAATTTTATGAACAGTTATATCACTCTTGCAAATTAGATATACATGTGTATATGCCTTCCATAAACGCCATTCACGCGTGATTAAGCTCGATGGTGCTTGCGCGCAGATCGTAATTCACCGCATTTTCACATGGCACCGTTGTGGGAATGCGCTGACGCGGACTGCGCTGGTGAAATCGAAACCGAAACACCCGTCGAAGCGGTCGGACTACTTGGCGCAGTAGCACATGTGCATAGGCTCCGCCCACGTAGCCTTGGCCGTGCTGCCACAGAAAGTTGTCGCCGGGTATAGGTCACTCAAGAAAGGTCGGCAAGACACGTGTTTCAGGCATCTGATTTAATCTACAACCAGTGCAGAGTGTTGTTCTCACGTGATAACAATCGGACAAAAAAATTTGAGGCAGATTTCCAATAGTGGTGCCAAGCCTCAAAGAAGTGATACTGAACAACCCTCTTTGTTTTGTGTTATTAGTTTATTTCTTCCTCTTATTTTTTTATCTTTTATTCCTGTCTTCTTCTTTACAATTTATCTTACTGTCTATTTATATTACATTCTATTTCCTTTTTTCACCTTTTTCCCTCACTTTTTTATTCTGTTTCTTCGTCATTCTTTCTATGCGACACCTTGCTCTCTCCTCACCTTTTTTCCCTGTTCCTCACTCTCTATTAACTTTCCAACCCCCTTGCACACAATACTGTAAAAAGCTATGCTACATTCTGCTACCTTGCCTGTATAGCCGAGTGGTTGTTTTTGGATTGTCAGTACATAAATTCGAATGTCATCTCGTTGAGATTTTTTTTCCCACATTTCCGGGTTTTTTTTTTTACTCATTCTCTAGTCCATCAGTGTTAATGCATCCCATGCCGGACGTATCGGCACACGTGAACTGGGAGCGAAGCACAGCAGGACAAAGATTAACAAGAGGCCAAAGAGAGCATGTGCCCGTTCATGATGATAGTTATTTCTGTTCTTCCATCGCAAACCATCGGTCTGCTTAAACAGCTCTACTCTTAAAATATGAAAAAGGTGATCCCATGCACAATCTTTTACTATGTTCCAAGTGATCTTCCAATTAGGTCTTGATAAGTGTGTGTACCATCCAGAGTATGAAATCATTTTTCAGCGAAATAAAAGTATTTTGACTGTTTTTACCTATCCATCTAGCTAGCTGCCTACGTCTGGGTGCTCACCTGATAACCTCTTTTACTAGTACATACCACAACTGGCATATAAAAGTATGAGTGTATGACAAACATGACTGATGCATCAGGACTTGAGTGACATGAAATACCTGTCAGGTAAATCATGAAACCCTTTCCCATACACATCTGGTGCATACCCATAAAATGGGGGCATGTCCCACAGGTTATGAGCCCACAGTAAGGTTTTGCCTTTTCAAGTATGGCTAAAACAGACATTGGAAATCTTACTATAATAACTTTAAAAACTTGTGTCAAAAAAAACAAAAATCCACTGCCCGTTTCAGTGACAATGCTGGTGAGTAAAATATTTGTAGACCATAAAAATAAAAATCACAATTAAAGCCAAAAGTGAACCCAGGCATTCTGTGAAGCAGTCCATTTTTCTACCCCAGAGTTGTACGACTGCTTAAAGTTGCATTCACCACTAGATCAGGGGCTGAGATGCTCACCTCCCGGCCCGAAGTTCGGGAGTTTGATCCCAGCCACGACAGTCACTTCTTTACAACTTGTCATAATGCAACAAGCGAGTATGCCTACAAACAGTTATTATTGACGAAGCGTTAGCCACAACAAGCTGGTTCAGGCAGAAACCCAGCAAGCACGAGCCACACGAACGTCGTATTCTTTCGTACTGGCACATAGCTGACGCCGCTTTGGCCCGGTACATACTATTTGCTGATATATGAAATCAGTGCCTTACAACGTCTCGATTCTGAAAGTTTGATTACCACATGTATTGAACTTTAAAGGAAAGATGTGCCTTATTTTTATCATGCTTCACCTTGTTGCAGGGAGCAAGAGAAGATGCATTGTCATCTATACCATGGTGTACACTGTATTTTATCGCGAATATATTTATTGTCCTCTGTGGTCTTCAATGCACCCAAAAACACTCATACATTTAAAGCCTCCCATGTTGGGTTTCTTGTTTAGAACTGCATACTTGCTATGGCAAAGGGGCTAAGAAAGCATGTGTTCCTGGAAAACATCCATAAAGTGGCTTGTAACGAGCCTGTAATCAGTGTGCCTTATTTCATATGACTAATATGTTGCACAAATCACTGGCTTTTGCCTTCTTGCTGAACGAGTTTGTAACAACGAAGAATTTGTAATTTGTTCACAGTATGTATAAAAAAATTTAGTTCCCTCAAAATCTCTTACCTGTCAGCATCAAAGTAGAATGTGACATTCTTGTGTACCTTAAAATAAACAGATATTTATCACTCTGTTTCTTGTGTGGGTTTGTTGATGCCACACATGCAAGTGCAGTCCATGTACAGTTCTAGCCATGTTTTATACAATGCAGCAAATAAAAAGAAACTTTCTGCTGCATGGTAAATGTACGATGAAGCAAGCCCTGTGCGAATTACAACTCAAGTGACAAATTTCGAGCAGAGATTTTTCCATGTTATACAGAATTATGTGTTGAGACTCACGTGAGAATTATGTGGTTGCATCAACAAAGAAACAGATAAAAACCGTTTCCAAGGTAACACACACCCCTGCTGAGTATAATTATTCTCTATTGGTATGACTAATTTCTCCAGTAATTTTTGTTATGTGTCTAAGCTGAGCATCTTCTGATACACACAATGGGGCAAAAACATCCTGCATTTGCAGCTTCAATCAAGCTCTTTTTTTTTTTCGCAGCCCTGCCTGCTCTACAAAAATTTTGTACAGTAGCCTGCTTAAAGATGGGGCTGTGCTGCATTCGCCAAGACTGAATTATGCCATGCAGTTTCTTTATAAGAAAGAAATCAAACAGCACCATAATTAAAAGATAAAGTGAAAATGGCAGACCCATGTATCTGTTGCCTTCTCTCTAATTTATCTACAGTGCTGCACGATTCTACCCTAAAATAGATGTATTCAGTAGAACACCTTCAGTGTGTGCTACTAAGCACCTAGTGAAAAAGTGCTCCTCACGATAAATGAGGGAGTTATTCATTTAAAAGTTCAGTATAGGAGCGGAAACTTCACTTCGGTATGCATTGGTTCTATAACGAAAAAAAAATTGAAAACGAGTTTCCTCCACCACTCTTGAAGAAAGTTAAAAGCATGTCAGCAATTCTAAAGCTGAAGAAGAAAGGACAAAGGACTCCGAAGACCTAGCACGCATATGTAATAGGATAGACCGACTCTATACGCACGACGTCGTGGGTCTTGGCGGAAGCGTGTATACGCACGACGCGACTGAGGCGCCACGACACGCCACGCGGCAACTTCAGAAAACGGAAAGCGCCCTCGCTACTCTCGCTGCTCAGTGCACGTCCACGTGCGTATTCATGCTTTCATCGAGCGGCCGTGCACAGGCGCCTCGCTTTGTTGTTCTAGTGGCCGCAGTGTGGTGAACGGCATGGGATTCGAAGTTGGGGCACGGTTTAGTTGTTTTAGCGATTTTGATCGCGCCTTTAGGGAATACCAGCTCCAAAATAATACCCTTTTCGTAGCAAAAGCGACAAAGACAGTGGACGTCGTCAATTCGCGGCTAAGTGTCGGACTTGAACGTCTGCAAAAGAAGCTCAAGTACGCAAACGCGACGTATGTGTGTAAACACGCCGGGGAACGGAGGTGCACTGCTACTGGTGTACGACCTCAGCAAAGGTGAGCTGCAATCCATCTATCCTTTCTTAACTTGTACACTTTAACAATGAGCTAACCTCTTGGGTTACGTTTCCAGTAGTTACGAATAGAAAAAAAAATGTGCGCAGGACCATGAAGCAAGGGTGTCCCGCGACCGTTGTCATCGCAGCACGTCGGACCAGCCAGCAGTTAGAGATAACAAAGATTGACTGCAACCACAACCACGAAGTGAACAAGGAAATTTTCCAGCTGTATCCGGAAAACCGCCGGCTTACGCACCATGAAAAGGAATATGTCCTTCCTTTGCTTGACCTCAATGTGTTGCCCAATGTCATAGCTGGGAAGCTAGCAGAAAAGACGGGTAAGGACATGTGTTTTTTCCCTCTTTTTGCGACGCATTGATTTCCTTAATTTTCGCACTTCCCGTCTTATTTTTCTCAGAGTGCTCAATTATGACTTCCGAATATTTTTTCCTGTTTTGTCAGTGCATGCTATTCATGCATGTCTTTCTTTCCTGGCTTTTACCAACAGGAAAGGTGGTAACAACGCAGGATCTGCACAATGTCAAGCGAAATTGTCACGGCCGAGACGAAGCTGAACAACTTCTTCAGGAGATAGAGAAGTGTCGTCAGCAGCATCGGGCAAAGATAATTCCTATCACAGATGAAAATGAGGAGCTGCAAATTTTGTTTATTCAAACGCCACACATGCAGCAAGCATATAAGTCCTTCCCAGAGGTGGTGTTGCTTGATGCAACATATAGGACAAACAAGTTAAAGATGCCACTTTTTGTATTTGTCGTGCAAGATGGGTGTGGAGAAAGCCAAGTAATTGCTTATGCTTTTGTTGCTTCTGAGCAGTGTCACCACGTCACTGAAATGCTCAACCTCTTCGTGAAGGAAAACCCTTGTTCTGAAAATACTGGCGTCATAGTCGTGGACTAGGACTTCACCGAAATTAGTGCAATTCGTAGCGCTTTCCCATCTGCTCCATCAATACAGTTGTGCCAGTTTCATGTGATGAAAGCGTTCAGAACAGCAGCTAGCCACTTAGCACGTTCCGCTGAAGAACGTGACAAAATGGTGACCACATTCAATGAAATGCTGCACGCCCCTAATTCAAGCAAATTTGAAGATGCACAGTCTGAGTTCACAAGGTTTGCAAGCAAAGACTCAATAGAGTACCTCGAGAAGAATTGGCTCTCAATTAAGAACATGTGGGTTCGCCACATCTGCGACCAAGAGTTCACTTGTGGAGCCAACACAACTAACAGAGTTGAAGCGCACAATGGTTTCATAAAAACGGCATTGTCATCATCAACAAAGCTTCATGATGCTGTAAGGAAACTGCTAGATTTATCAAGCAGTATTGAAAGAAAGTCGGCCCACTCAGCAACATTGCTGAAGACATGCATCTTCTACAACCATTCTAGCAATAATAAAATTGAAGAGGCATGTGCTAAAGTGCTGACCCCGTTTGCTTGTGGAGTAATTAGAAAGCAGTTCAGCAAACTTGCAGAAAATGATATTGAAGTGAAGAAAACAAAAGAAAAATTGTACCATGTTACATTTTCAAATGGAGAAAGGTGGCATGATATTTCCATTGAAAGTCACTCGTGCAGCTGCACCTTCTCTTCCAAAATGGGGTTGCCTTGCCGGCACTTGTTGGCCGTGTACGTCAAATACGACATTGAGCCTGACTTGGACAAAGCAGTACGAAGCCGCTGGTTCAAACGGTACCAGGCCGCATTCTTGCCAAATCAGCAAGCCGCTGCTGAGAACAGCACCCCCACAGACCAACTCCGAATACTTTCGATGCCTGGCCCAAATTTTGAAAAAATGAACCGTAATCAGCGATACAATTTTGCTATGCGGACACTCAAGTCACTTGCTGACACGTTGGCCGATTGTCAACCTGGTATCTTTGCACAACGACTCGGGTTCTTGGAGGATTTGAATAGCACTTGGCTCAAAGGAGGTGAAGAGAACAAAAGGGACTGCTCTATAAATTTAGCCACCAGCAGTAACAGTGAGTGTGACACACAAGCAGCTGAAAATCCTCATAGTCAAGCCGTTGAAGTGGAAAACATGCAGAAGAAACCTGAGGAAGCTGAAAATTCGGGTCAAGCCATTGAGCTGGAAAACATGCAGGAGAAAGCTGAAGAACCCGACAATCCTGGTCAACCCGTTGTAGTAAAAAACGTGCAGGAGAAAGCTGAGGAAACAGGGAAAAGCTGTCCAATAAAGCTTCCAGTGGTGAAAAGCAGAGGACGTCCTGCCAAGCGCATTCGCCAAAGAACAATGAAGAGGAAGAGACAAGGAGAAGGTCCTGTGCCTTTCAAGGATTTATCTCCGAGGTCTCAAGAAAAGTGTAAGAAAATATGCCTTTTGCAAGCGTTCTGGAAGTGTGCAATCATTACTTGCTTGGAATGGAACAGAAAACGTTTCTAGTGATGATTTTTTGTCAGATGCATAATTTTTAAGAACTTTTAAACATGCACTAGCTACGTCCCTCAAGAAAGGTTAATCTGAGGAAATGTTCTTTATTGGCATGGCATGTCATGCTTGTGCATTATGTGCTGGATATTTTTTTCAGTGATCCTAACTGGCATTGCTGGCCAGGAGGCTGCAGCACGTGTTTTGAATGAAGGGGGAATTCTCGATGAGAGTGATATTGAAGTGCGCCCCGAGGAGTTGGCGAGCGCCCTCCTAGACCACCGGGTATCATTGCCAAAGCTGAAGAAATACTTCACCGCAGAGGCATGGCTGTTGCTCTCATCATCCCGTAAGAACCTATCTCTTTCTGGTCGTTTATCATTGTTTTGTGACTGCCATGCATGAGCAACTGTTCCTTGTCTGCAGTTGCTGTGAAAAAAAAAGGAGACATATGGAGCTGTGCACAATGCAAGAAAAAGGATGATGGCGAAATAAAAATGGTTTTGTGTGATCAGTGCTTGGAATGGTTTCACTGGTAAGTATAGGATGGCATAAGGTCATAATTTATGTTCTTACATGCTTTTCTCCATTATATTACAGGCCGTGTGCTTCAGTGAAGAAGGAGGACCTAAAGCGTCACTGGTTCTGTATGAAGTGTTGCAGTCACACATAGATACTTCCTGGAGCAATAAACGCATGCTTTTTTTTCTTTTTGCACTTATGCTGTTTTGTTTTGCTGCTGAATAGACGGTAGGCAGTCTTCGGTATTGCAGTGCCTTGTCAGCTCGAAACTGCAGTACTGCTACGGGTCTGTCCGCTCTGTTGCAAAAGTTCAGGAGAGCTTAGTATATCTCATACGCCCCCGCGCATGAGATGAGGGAATCGCGAGAGACCAAGGTGACTGAAGTGTTTGACGCATGTTGCGTCCTGTCTACTTCAGTTCTCACCCAGGAAGCACATCAGCGTTAGGTTACTTTTTTTGTGTAGCGTGAAAGTTTAAATAGGGAGACCCTGAGAAAAAGGGAAGGGGGGGGTAATTTGACACAGCAGGATGAGAAATTTACTACAGTAAATTATTTCTAAACTTTTATATCTTGTCATCTATGAAACAGGGAAATAGAGTAACTGATACAAGTGTAAGTTGAAATACATGTAACTGTAATATGCTCCAACATGAAACTGTTTCGACGGTGAGGACAGCCAGCGTGTGAACAGCGCGGCTAGCTGACTTTTTCTGAAGCTCGGAGTGCTTGCTGCCAACACATGCTCAAACAGGATGGCCAGATGTATATGAACTGAAGGCACTGCTGAACAATAATAGGGTGTTCACCCTATTAGCGTTGTCAAAGACCTCCATTTCCACTACAAGCTGGTTTCTTCCAACGAGGACAACTTTTCATGGCAATGAAGGGAAAGCTACGGGGGCGGAGCTTCTGCACATGTACAGCCGCCCAAATCTTTTTAACTATCGTGCGCGAACGCCGACTTTGTGAGTTAGCGCCGTATGACGGAGCCAAGTTGCAAACGGCGAGAGTAAGCGCAGTCCCATGATGCGCGCACATGGGCCTATCGTCTGCTCGGCTGTTCCTTCGTGAGAACGTCACCCTGCATTAACTTAGTTCAGAAGAACAGGCAGCGCGTCTGGCTCGTATCTTAATATTCCGAAGATTAGCAAGCAACCGAGAAAATGAAATCCGCAGATACGTCACACGCCCCCGCGCATGAGATAAGCTGACAAATGTGGATCGTTCATTTGTTATCTGGCGACGCAAACGCTTTTTTTTTTTTTAAGTTTTCTCTCGCCCTATTTGGAACATGGCTCCGTCGTATGGCGTTGACGCACAAAAAGGTCGGCGCTCGCGCACGAGATTTGGATAGTTATAGATTTGGGAGTCTGTACATCTCACTAGTGTGTGCTGCGTCCTGTCTCAAAGAGGGCTACATGTAGAAAATAAAAGAGTTGTTCTGATAACTTACCTAGAAATACGGTGGCATTTGCGGGACTACATTATTTACGATAGGATACGCGCGATTTGACTCTGCAGCCTTCGCTTCAATGCCAAGAAAAAGTTGTCCGCGAGTATAGTGGTCTACCCCATTGAAAACTGCTGCTCTTTGCATGCGCAATTACGTGCAGAGCGATAAGGTGAGCAAGGTGCAGCACACGCTCTCGTTTGCATTAAAACATCGTACTGTTCACAGCTGTAGGGCCCGTTACTTTGGCAACATCCACTAAACAGTTGTCACACGCGCGGCGACCGAACAGACACGCGCAGACTACTCGGAAGCATGCATCGGTAGTCCGATCCGGAAGGTTTCAGCAACTGCCGCGTGTCGCGTCGTGCGTATACACGCTTCCGCCAAGACCCACGACGTCGTGCGTATAGAGTCGGTCAATAGGATATCACAATCTAGTGCATTTAAAATAAAGCGATATTCATACCCAGATTTCCTCTATGGCTTTGTTGATGCTCTAGTGCATTTAAAATAAAGCGATATTCATACCCAGATTTCCTCTATGGCTTTGTTGATGCCAGGGGTGTATGCATTGTCCCTGTACTGCTGTGGCCATGTATGAAAAACAGCAAAGAAAAACATTTTCTTCTATACAGCTATAAGTAAGCCCCAGGAACGAGTAGGGATTTGGTAACTAATTACCGATTCGGCTGTTTTGAACAAATAATTAACAGAGTATATGTGGTTGTTTCAACGGGGAAAGAGATAAAACCTGAGACCAAGGTTACAAGCGATGTTACACCTATGCTATCCTCAATGTCATGATTTTTGTCATGAATTTCCTTTTGTCATGATTTATATACCAATCATTCTTTATTATGTATCTATGCCAAGCACTCTTATGACTCATAATTGTTACGTCTAGACCTAACGCTAGACACTCCGTTTCGAAATGCCCGGCGTCGCCCCATTTGTATACGAGCGGCACCCCCGACTGCGCCATCAGGGCGCGACTATGCGCATTGACAGCCAAACTTGCATCCATTATCCAATGCATAGAACAGTCGTCGATAACATTGTTTAAGAAACGATATCGGCACTCACCGTTGCTGCTCGTCCGGCTGCAGAAAAATGGCTCAGTCACGGTGACATTGCGTTCTCAGTGACCACGTTGCGCCCAGTCTTCCCCCCCTCGTACGATACAAAGAAGTCGGGCCAACAATCTGCACAAAGTGCCACAAACACATGTGCTTCGGGAAGCGAACAAGCATGTTTGCTCTTATCAACTACATCACAACCCCTCCGCTTACCTTACCCGTTCCGTGCCACATGGTAGCATCTTGGGTAACACGTGAGCGGAATGGCGTAGGTGTTCTGGTAGGTGTTCTGTGGCGTAGTCACACAGTCAACGCCTCCTAGATTTCTCTTGCCTGCCAGATGAGCGCGAAACGCCCTTCATCTATAAAGGCGCTGCCTACGTAGGAATAAAGGTCTTTGTACTTAGCATTTGAAATTGGCAATTTTGGCGTTCATTACTAATTTCAGGGGCTATGTCCTGTACATAAAAAGTTGCTTGCTGAATGACGGTGTTAATTACGTAGGGTTAATTATATATACGGTTACGTTTTTTTAACTGTTTACGTTATTTTTGTTGTATATAAGCTCCAAAATTGTGAAAACTTATTTGAAGACACCCCTACTTAAGCTGGCGCCATTACCATAGTTCCGACGACCGCCGCTTACCAAGTGACCACCGATAATCCGGCAGGCAAGAGAAATTTAGGAAGCGTTGTCACAGTACACCTACCGGTTTGACTACAGTGTACTAGAATATTCTAGTACACTGTAGGTTTGACAATGCTCTCACAGTTGCCTCCGAGCAGCCAAGATGTCACGTGATAGAGCGGTACCGCAAAATTATGTCACGTGACTGAGTAGTATAGAAGTGAGCGAACTCACGTGGCGGACGGTCGCAACACAACGCAGTAAGCATGGCCTCCAAGATTGCATGCTGGCAGGAGTCTCGCAATTGAAAAGAAAACGACGTTCCAGGCATAGTTATTCTAGAAAGCGTTGACACCACAGAACACCTAAATGGTAGTGTATAGGTGTTTTGTGGCTGGCCCCTCTCCAGTGCTCACGTGCCTCTTCATACCTTGTGCCGCGAGGGCCGTCACATACAAGCGGCGTAGCGCTAATCACCACCTGTTCGCCGACGTCACCTCAACGTTTGTGGTCATATATTGGCTAACAAAGCACTCATCCTGCGTGATTAGTATAAACAACTACAAAATTCAAAAATAAATATATAAAATTGATTCAAATTTTTTCTAATAAAATGGACGCCACACCACGTAGGTTGTCCATTTTATTAACGTTGGGCTGTTTTACACCATGTAGGTTAAGGGGTTCCCGCGTTTGTCAACCGGTGTGCAATAAATACTTAAGAGCACTGAACAGCTTACTTGACCAGCCATCTAAGAGAAGAAACACTCACATATATATACTGGCAGTTCACCAAAGAATGTAGGCATTCTTAGTCCAGCGCCTTCAAGACAATTATGAAGTAGCAGACAAGCAAGTTACAGGTAGCGCCACCAATAGTGAGTGGTTGAACGAGAGCGGGGACACGCGCTTTCATAGGAACCATGCTATATGGGATGGTCAGGAGTACAGCAGGTCGTGAACAAAAATCTCTTTGCCACAATCATCATCATCAGTCTGACTACGTCCACTGCAGGACAAAGGCATCTCTTGTTCCGCCAGTTAACCCGGGCCTGTGCTTGCTGCTGCCAATTTATATCCGCAAACTTCTTTATCTCATCTGCTCACCTAACCTTCTGTCTCCTTCTAACCCGTTTGTATTCTCTAGGAATTCAGTTAGTTACCCTTATTGACCAGCGGTTATTCTCTCTACGCGCTACATGCACGGCCGCGACATTACATTTCAGCACCGTTCCATGGATGGATTGATGTGGCTGTACCCTTTAGGTCGGGCGGCGGCTATCGCCACCTAGCCGTAATACTTAGTGAACTAACCATTAGATTTATCTTTTTTGTTGTTGTTGTTGTTTTCCTTTAAATAGTGAGGTTTGGGATTCGTATTTTGCAGTGAAGGGTTTAATTTTCACTCGTGCTTTGACTTAAGTTACCAATCAGATAATCTCCTTCTAATTAAGTCTACCCGCTTAAAGTCTATTTTGCCCTCCTTGTCCCTAAACCCCAGTGCCTTGAAAAACTCTGCGCCATCATCCTGAACTATAGGGTGAAGCCCTTTACATAACATTATCAAGTGTTCAGCAGTTTCTTCTTCCTCTCCACACGCACTGCATACTGTGTCTACCCCTTCGTATTTGGCCCGATATGTCTTGGTTCGCAACACTCCCGTCCTGGCCTCAAACAGTAGAGAACTACCCCGAGTATTATCATAGATCCTTTCCTTGGCAATTTCCTGCTTTAAAGTTTGATAGATCTCTAGTGCGGTCTTCTTAATCATGCCCATTCTCCACATGTCAGTCTCCATTTCCTTCACTTTCTTCTTAACCGATAGTTCCTTTTGGTTTGGCCACCTGCTGTTTTCTAAGTATTTACCAGTCAATTTTCTGGTTCGCTTCCTCCATTTTGTATCGACATTCTTCATGTACAAGTAGCTGAAAACCTTCCTAGCTCAACGCTCCTCCCCATTTCTCTCAATCGCTTCTCATATTTTATCTTGCTGCTAGCTTCCCTGCCCTCAAATGATGTCCATCACATATCACCTT